GGCGCAGCTTCAGCCCTACGCGGTGCTGCAGCCGGGCACCGGCCGGAGGATGCACAGCTACCTAGGTGGGGCTGGGCGGAGGGGGCGCAGTTACTGGGGGGTGCACCGCTACCTAGGCGGGGAGGGTCACAGCCCGCTGAGGGGGAGGGGTGCATAGCTGAGGGGGGGTGCATAGGTATCCAGGTGGGGACGGGTAACTACCTGCGGGGGGCGGGGGGTCACGACTGTCTGATTGGAATGGGCAGCGGCATTTCAGAGGAGGCACAGCTACCTGGGTAGTATGGTAAGGGGGGGCTGAGGGAACAGATTTGGGTGGCTACAGTTAGGTCCCAGGGTAGATGCAGTCAGAGGCAGCAGGTAGAGGATGTAGAGCTGCCTGGGTGAGTACAGATGGGTGGAAAAGGACAAGTGCGGGGGGTCACGACTGTCTGATTGGAATGGGCAGCGGCATTTCAGAGGAGGCACAGCTACCTGGGTAGTATGGTAAGGGGGGGCTGAGGGAACAGATTTGGGTGGCTACAGTTAGGTCCCAGGGTAGATGCAGTCAGAGGCAGCAGGTAGAGGATGTAGAGCTGCCTGGGTGAGTACAGATGGGTGGAAAAGGACAAGTGACACCTCGGTGAGTACAGATAGGGAGTAGGAGCAAGGTAAGTGTAGATAAGGATCTTGGAACATCATCTGTGAATGAGTCTAGCTTTGAAATGCCCAGTTAGCTGGATGAGTAATATGTCGGTATCCCGGAAATGAATGGAGTGTGATGATTTCTTGAATGATGGGGGTGAAACTCATGTGTTAAGGTGGATGGATTTATAGCAGTGGATAAAAATTAAATTTCTGATTCAAAACAGCATGTACTGACCACTCTGCCTGTCCTGAGGCTACTGTTGCAGTAGCCAAAAGATTTGTGGTTGCCTGAGTGCATTAAGGAATTGGGAATAATGATGTTTGCTCCTGAAAATCCTAGAGTTCTCAATTCAGTTTGGACATCTGTTTGAAAACCACTGGCAAGCATGTCCTTTAGGATCACATGCCAAGAGTACAGACTAAGGATGTTAAGAAGTGAGTAATTAACTAAGCCTGTAGTCAATACAATTTGTATTGACTACATGATTAGTTGATAAAGGGAGGCGCTCTCTCTCCCAGCTCTTGCCAGGTCAAGGAGTTATCCCTGCTGTGGCTCTGTAGTTTAAATGTCACCCAGCTCCTATTACATTTAAAATGCAGAGCCGCAGCAGAGGTAGGTTCCAGACCCAGTGCAAGGTAGGACTGAGCAATCCCAGCTCACACTGAGTCCCAGACCACTGCGTCTCTGCATTTTAAATGTAGTAAGAGCACCATGGAAATGGTAAAATGCACAATGGAGACTGCTCCCCCCAGCAGCGGCTCCTGCCACAGAGGCAGCGGGGAAGCAGGGAACGAGTAATGATGCACCTACCCAATAAGCCAAAGCTTATTGGGTAGTCAACTACTCAACTGGTCGCTTACATCCCTAGTACAGACTTTTATATATAATGTAACATAGTAGAGAGGTGTTCATTTTTTCTGTCACCTTGATGATATGGTTAATCTTGGGTGTTTTCTGGGATCATCTGCCTTTTTTTCCCCTTCCATCCAGACTCCTCTTGCTACCTCACTTCCAGTGGTCCCACACAAGCCAGAAGAAAAATTGAAATACAGGCAGTCCCCGACTTACGCGGATCCGACTTATGTCGGATCCGCACTTACGAAAGGGGCTTTCTCGCCCTGGAGGTCGAGACCGTCTCCAGCAGACCAGGGGCACCGGGCGGGTTCCCGCGCTTCTGAGGCTTTGCCAGAGCAAAGCCTCA